CAGGAATTCGAGGCTGCAAGTGAGCTATGATTGTGCCACTGCGCTCCAGCCTGGGCAACAGAGTGAGACCTTGTCTCAAAAAGAACCCCCAAAAGTAGTAACTATAAGCATATTTACTGCCTCCGACTAGCTGGGATTACAGACATGTGCCACCATGCCCTGCTCGTTTTTGAATTTTCAATAGAGACAGGGTTTCACCTTGTTGACTGGGCTGGTCTTGAACTCCTGGCCTCAAGTGATCCACCTGCCTTGGCCTCTGAAAATGCTGGGATTCCAGGTGTGAGCCCCCGCGCCTGGCACTGGTTGAGTATTCTGTAGAATGCCCCTCCATTGTGATTTGTGTGATGCTTTTTCTCATTATTAGCCTGGGGTTTGGGTTTTGGGGAGGAAGGTCACAGAGATGAAGTGTCAGTCTGATCACATCATACTACAATTGCATACTAATAACATGACTTATCCCTGTTGCTGTTCCTCTTTGTCACCTGCTTGAGGCACTGTTTGTCAAGTTTCTCCACTATACAGTTACCTTCTTTTTCTGCCTTCCCATATACTGTATTCCTTAGAAAGACGACACTTACGGCGTGGCGAGATAGGCACCACTCCTAGAGGTGAAGAATCGACATACATTATTTGGAAATCTGTATGGAGGATTGTCACGTCTCTCCATTTATTTATTTATTCAAACATTTATTTATATCAGTATGGCAACCATGGATCCTTCTGCTCTCTGTACATATATCAATTATGCTTTAAAAACTTTTTTTTAGTGGTTACCCTATAGTTTTCAATATAAATTTACAACTAATCGAAGTCTGCCTTCAAATAACATTATACTGCCCCATGGGTAATGGAGGTGTCTTATAACAGAGCACTCCCCCTTCCTTCCCCTCTTCCTTATGGCATTGCTGCCATTCATTTCACTCATCCATATGCTGTCACCACCCAGTACACTGTTACTATTGTTCATTTAAGCAAATAGTTATCTTCTAAATCAAGAGTAAGGAAAATACAAGATTTTATGTTATCATCATTTGTTCCTTCTCTGTCTTCCCGCCTGTTTTCACATAGATTCAAGTTTCTGATCTATGTTATTTTCCTTCCCCATGACAAGGGAGGACTGCTGGTAATGAATTCCCTTAGTTTTTGTTTGTCTGAGAAAGCTTTATTTCTCATCCTTGTTGAAGGATAATTTCTCTGGATATTGAATTCTACATTGGTGATTTTTTTCCCTCAACACTTTAAATATTTTGTTTCACTCTTTTCTTGTTTACATGTTGCTCATGAGAAAATCCACTGTCATTCTTATCCTTGTTCTCTATAGGTAAGATTTTTCTCCCTGTCTCCTTTCAAGGTTTTCCCTTTGCTTCTGGTGTTCTACAGTTTTAATATAATATGCCTAGGTGTAGATATTTTGGTAGTCATCCTGCTTGTTCTTCTCTGACCTTTCTGGATTTGAGGTTTGGTGTCTGCCGCTAATTTTGGAAAATTCTCAGCCATTATTACTTTGGATATTCACCTGCTCTGTTCTCTCTTTCTTCTCCTTATGGCATCCCAATTACATTGTAATTTTAAATGATGAAGTAGAATTGTATTTTTAACATGGAAGGATATACATGCTATATAGTAAGAAGATTAGGGATATGAAATAACAGTAATCATTTATCATTTCTCACAGTTTCTCTGGGTCAGGAATGCAGGTATGTGGGAGAAACAGCTTGCCACACAAAGTCTGGTGTCTCGGCTGAGAGATGTAAAGACTGGAGGCTATAGAATCATTTGAAGCCTCAGCCGTTCACGTGTTGGGTAGTTGATGCTTGCTGTTGGCTCACTGCTGTGATCACAGATAGTGCTGTTGGAAGGAGCATCTACCTGTAATGGCTCCATGTGTCTTGGGCTCACAACATGGTGACTAGGCTCCAAAAGTGAGCATCCAGTGAGCCAGGCAAGAGGTGTGTTATTTTACTACCTTTCCTTGGAAGTTACATAGATCATTTCCATTGAATTCTACTGGACAGCTTCAAAGGAAGGAAACATAGAACTCACTTCTTGGTGGGAGAAATGTCTGTCACATTAGACAAAGAGCATGTAAGATGAGAGAGAAATTGATGCGGTCATCTTGGGAAAGTATAATCTTCCACATCTGTCAGAATCAAAATGTGTATATAGCCTGTAATCCCAGCACTTTGGGAGGGCAAGGCAGGCGGATCACCCTGAGGTCAGGAGTTCAAGACCAGCCTGGCCAATGTGGCAAAACTCTGTCTCTACTAAAAATACAAAAATTAGCTGGGTCTGGTGGCACACGCCTGTAATCCCAGTTACTTGGGAGGCTGAGGCAGGAGAATCATTTGAACCCAGGAGGTGGATGTTGCAGTAAGCTGAGATCGTGCTACTGCACTCCAGCCTGGGTGACAAAGCGAGACTCTGTCTCAAAAAAACAAAACAAAACTATATATATATGTGTGTATATATATACACACACACACGTACATATATGTGTATACATATGTGTCTCTTTTTAACAGAGACAGAGTTTTGCTTTATACACATATATGTACGTGTGTGTGTGTGTATGTATATATATATATGCATAGACTTTGATCTAATACTTCAGTGTCTAACAGTTTATCTTATAAACATAGGCATACCCAGAGATATCCATATGAGACTGGTCATTGTGCATTGTGACAGCAAAAAACAGAAACCATCTAAATAATACTAAATAAGGAAAATGGTTAAAATAGTTATGGTATTTATACAGTGGAATATGTCATGCAGTAATGAAAAGGAATACACTTTGGAAGGCCAAGGTGGGTGGATCATGAGGTCAAGAGATTGAGACCATCCTGGCCAACATGGTGAAACCCTGTCTCTACTAAAAATACAAAATTAGCTGGGTGTGGTGGTGTGCACCTGTAGTCCCAGCTACTCAGGAGGCTAAGGCAGGGAGGCAGAGGTTGCTGTGAGCCAAGATGGCGCCACTGCACTCCAGCCTGGCGAAAAAAAAAAAAAAAAGAATGAGGTTTGAGGTTGGACATAGTGGCTCACGCCTGTAATCTCAGCTCTTTGGGAAGCTAAGGTGGAAGAATGGCTTAAGGCCAGGAGCTCAAGACCAGCCTGGGCAACATAGCAAGACCCTGGCTCTACAGAAAAACAAGAGAATTATCTGGGCATGGTGGTACACATCTATAGTCCCAGCTATTCGGGAGGCTCAGGTGGGAAGATCACTTGAGCCCAGGAGTTCAAGGCTATTGTGAGCTATGATTTATTGCACTATTGCACTCCAGCCTACGCAACAGAGTGAGACCCTATGTGTTTAAAAAAAAAAAAAGATTTCTATATGCAGATGTGATAAAGATCCATGAAATGCTAGTAAAGCAGGATTGAGAATTTTCCCATTAAAAAAGGATACATGTGTAACCACTGCTAGTTACCTGTAGAATGGGACCGCTAGTTGGAGTCAGGAGAGAATCCCTAACTTGGCACTGCGTGTTCTTTTGTATCCTTTCTATTCTTTAGCATGTGTCTGTTTTCATACTGTTTAGAAAATAGTCAAAAGAACC